ACCCATATTTCGTCACCTTGAGCCCTATCGATAATATCCAGTTCATATACAAGAGCAGGGAACCTCAGGTACAAGCTCTGAACGCAGCAGACAGTCCACTTGTTTTCATCGGTAACCCTGTCAACTTAGATCATGTTTTATGATTCTGTGATCTTCTATGTGTGTTATCAGTAGACGTTTTCCGTGCTTCCTGATGCGGTTTATGCATTTCTGTTCGGGTTTCGGCTTAGGCGAGTGGGTGAACGAGTGGAATGTTACAAATGGGACACAAACAGAATATCAAGACTTTGGAAAGGCTCAGTTAGAGGTGTATAATGCAGCTTCCTTTGGTTGGTCTTATTGGACTCTCAAAAATGACAGAGAACACTGGGATTTTGACTGGAACATTAGGAACAACTATCTTCAATTCAGTAAATATTCTAAACCCTATTTTCGATTAAGTGAAGCACCGTATCCCATATCTGGCATCCGTACCCGAGTCCGTTTCTGAACTGCACGTGACATACATTCTTGCAGGTAATTCACAGAAGAACATTTTAAACAGACTAATATGGCTTTTACTTCCCTTGGTATGGTTCCATCGGTGTTGAATATCGTGACGGACGGCATTGCTCGAGACTCGAACGTGACGAGGAGGATCGGGCACAGCTTTTTCATTTTCTTTTCCATTTTCCCCTGTTTTTATATTCATTGATACGCCAATGCTACGTTCATTGCTTCAGCAAAACAACCATTTCATTCATTTTGGAAAATTTGGAAGCCTAATAACATAGAGCAGAGATTATACATTAAAGAATGTGTTTCATTCCTTTCAAAACAATGGCACTGCTTGTTACTCGGACTTAAAAATGAGTGTCGGTCATGGGTCTATGTGAATCTAACACAGGTATTTTTCACATATTTTAAGAATTATATTCCTATATTTATCTCTAAATATATGTAATTAAACTTTAGTGATAATAAAAGAGTATTATTTTTTAGGAATATTGGATTCAAAAGATTATATTTAGAACTTGATTATATATAGAATTTGATATTACTTGAATAAGGTATCGAGTTCGAGTTTTTGTGTATCTAGAAAATTCCTGTTGAAAGACTTACCTACAAAAAATAAGTGTGCGATCGGGTTGATATGAGAGTGAAAACATTAAAAGAAAATGAATTAAAGTGACAACCAATAACCATTAATTAGTTAAAAAAAAAGTGACTACCAATCATCTAGTTTGGAGATAACATAAAATATTGAAACTTAGCTCCACTCTGTATTGCACATCCATTCCTCAACTTCAGGAATCAAATATGTTTTTGGCAAAATGGTTAGCATATAAGAGCGAAATGGTGGGAAATCAAGTCCAGAGGAAGAAACCCAGGGTTCTATGCCTCCATGGATTCAGAACAAGCGGTGAAATCCTGAAGAAAATTATAGGAAAATGGCCTGAATCCGTGCTGGGAAACTTTGATTTTCTCGACGGTCCATATCCCGCGAGAGGAAAATCCGGCGTTGAATCCCTTTATGATCCACCTTATTATGAATGGTATCAAGTCAACGAGGTTTGATCTTTCAATTTCAACATCTTATTTTTTTTCATGATTGGATAATCTCCATTTAAATGAAACATCAGCCTTTTTTTTCTTTGTTTTTTTTTTCTTTCAGATTTATTGTGTGCATTTTGAGGAATGTGTTGTATATTGAAGATTATATGATTAAACATGGTCCCTTTGATGGTCTACTGGGCTTTTCCCAGGTAAATGACTTGATACTTGAAATCACTGAAAGGAACCCTTTTTCAGTTTTCTGATTAAAATTGAAGGTTGGGTAATTTTATGGATTTCAGGGTCGAATGCTTGCATCTGTAACTCCGCCACTGCAAAGAGAGGTTTGCCCTTTGAAGCTTCTTTTAGAATCAATATGAGGGTATTTGTAATCCTTAACATTTGGGTTTGGCTCTCCAGATATACAATGAGACATGACCATAACAAAATCCAAGAACAATTCAAGTAAGCACAATTCAAGTATGAAAATCACTCCATGCCTGGCACCTGCAAATAATTATATGCAGATTAATAGACGATTTTCTGGGCATAAATTTGGCAAAAGCACTAAAACAAACAAAATACTCAGCACTTCAACAGATAGAGATTCCCATCAAGTTTCTCTTACCTATCTATTATTGTCTTCGAAATAAATTTGATGCTCACGTATACTATGTTCCTCATACTCTCATCTTCCATTGAATGAAACTAAGCTCTCAACATAAGTAATAATTTGCATTGTTCTTTGAGAAGCATGGATACCCAGATTTTTAAGCTCTCCTGTGGAGGGTTCAAGCATTACTAGTTCATAATCCGAGCTCTCAAGAAACAATTTACCATCTTTCCAAAACCCCAAAGGCCTCGAAACTCCAGGAACAAATTCAATACTAAATTGTTTACTCCACCATTCATTCGTAACCCATAAATCAAAAGATTTCTCAGTTCCTAGAACAATTGGGTAAACAATAATAGCACCAAGTAATCTATTGAAGCCCAAAAGTTCCCAATGGTAGGTTAAAGACAAACCAATTTCAGGCATAAGTAAAGTTGAAAACTTTTCATCAACCATATCAAATGCAAGAACAACCTTATCAGAATCACAAGTCGTTGCCGTCCAGTAATAAAACCATTTAAGTATGTATTAAACACATGACCGCCATAAGGATCCTCACCAGGAACTTCAATTTACGTCCATGATTCGGTTTTAAGGGAATACAACTCAACTTGTTGATTATAGTCATATTCACCATTTACAAGATAATTAGCAACAAATCTTATATCTTTGTAATCATCAGTTTGAGGATCGTACCCAAATCCAGAACGGCCAAATTCAGTGAAAGCCGGAGGACAAGGGCGTTGGAATGGGGATTCAGGGAGGGTTTTGCATTCTGTGGTGGATGGGTTCCAAAGAGCAACCCTAGCATGTTCTTGTAAACACAAGAATCCATTATAAGGACCAGAGATTTAAATAGTGTTTCGCAACTGTGATAACGTCGCGAAATAACAATAGCGTTCGTTGTTATATGACCGTTATACCCGTAAACTTCGTAATAGCGTTTGTTATATCCGCAATTGCGACAAACGCAACGCGAACGAAAACACGACCACAACTGCTATTTGAATCTCTGACAAGAACCATAAACTTGAGAGGAAGCTTCGTATTATCCTTGTTGGAATGGGGATTTACCGAAAAGTTTTGACCTTTCTCAGTCGAAAGCTGAGAGATATAAAAGATGTCATCAGGTGCTTTACCAAGGAGGAGATTAAGGTTGTTGTTTCTGAGGTTGTTCTATGATGTTTTGTAATAAAAATGGAGTCTGAAAAGATGAAGACCAAGCTTTACAAACGCACTTGAAACGTGTCAAGGATTTAACCTTCGTTTTTATTTCTCCTTATTTCTTATTTTTGTCATCCTACTTCCTCCATCCTATTCCTTATTTATCGACCTAAACCAACCATATTCGACCACCACATTAACCTTCGTTCTGACTATCGCCAACTACCGTCGTCAAAGGTCAATGAGTCTCAAAATTTCTCACTACACTCACATGATCCTTCTAAACGTGAATTTATTATTCGTATAATCAAAATATAACTCAAGATCTACCATTCTAATGACAACCGAAATTCGTGTACTGGTGTTAGAAAATCAAAAGGTTATTACAGTGGTTATGACGTGGACGATATTAACATCTGTATCAGTTAATGATTTCGGATAAGAATTTATTTTATTTTATTTTAGATTTTATATGACAAAATATTAATGAAAAATACCATATAACCTGTCCAATATTAAATTAATTCACGTTATCAAGCTGTTAGTGAGTAAAATGGAAATGGTAAGAAAGTTTAGTTGCTAAATTTGAAAGTACAAGATTAAAATTAAAATAAGAGTGATAAGAAAATTTAAATGTGTAAAATCCCGAAAGTATCCCCATCTCCTACTAATTTCCTGAACTCTTTATTTCTCCAATAATGGCTTCCATCACCGAAAGGATCCCCACAAAATCTCTCTTCAAGAACCTCATTTCTTCCTCACCGGAGCCTCCCCTTTCCCGCTTCTTTTCCACCGCCGCCTGCGAGAACCGGACCCAGAAACTCGAGCGCATCGCCGACGAGCTCTTAGATCTTACAAAGCTCGAACGCTATGATTATTCCATCCTCTTCCGTCTCAAACTCGACCTCAACCGCTACGATCCTGCAGTCTCCGGCGTCACCCGGGGCCGGATCGGGCGCGGCGGAAACGAAAGCCGCGGAGAAGACGGCGTTCGATATAAAGCTGGAGAAATTCGATGCGGCGGCAAAGATAAAGATAATTAAAGAAGTGAGGTCGTTTACTGATTTGGGGTTAAAAGAAGCAAAAGATCACATGGTGGAGAAAGTTCCTGTTGTGGTTAAAAAGGGAGTTGTGAAAGAGGATGCTGAAGCCATTATTAAGAAACTCCAGGAATTGGGTGCTACAACGGTACTCGAATGATTCTTTTTTCTTTTCCCTCAACAATGTTGTAGAATAATCGTTGTTTTGATGAAATGAGAACAAGAAAAACAGATTTCAAGATTGTTTTGTTCTCGGCATGACCATTGGAATTTGAAAGTGAAACTTTGCTGCAACTCACTTATAGAAGATTGGGATGTTTTGGTTTATTGAAATTCTTTCAGTTTTGGATGGATTAGATTAGGGAGATGATTACACTGATGAGATAGATCAAAAGTTATTTGAGTTAGGGTTTATCGATTGGTTTAAATTTTATTTTTTATATTCAGTTTAATGATAATATGCCGTGTCCTAAGATAATGTTATATTATTAATTAAAAAAATAAAAAAAATATCGTGTTAGTATTTCTGTTAATTTTACAAGGATTGTGTATCAAATTAAAACATAAATTAAACATTAAGTATGAATTTTTAAAATATATATATATAAAATTTGGACACCAAAATTGAATAAAAGGGGCTAATGGTTGATGAGTTCTTGCAGCTACCTGGGTTGCTTGCAGTATTGGTTAGGACCTCTCCAAAAGGACCTCCCATTGAACTTCCCCAAGATATTGGTATCCAGTGAGCTTGATTCTGGTTCGGGTCACTAACATCGGTGCTGACCACCGAACCCATTTGGATTGGATCGAACTCCCGAGATAACCTATGGGGCGAAAGGGCAACCTTCTCTTGTGCGGGTGAAGACGAGGCTGATGAGAGCTCGGAAGATGTCATAGGAATAGACATAGACATTGAGAGGATTCTGCAAACGGAACACCTTGTTCTGTAATGGTAAATGTGGAGTTGTTGGATTTCAGGTTGGTGGTGGAAGACATCACAGACAACGCCCGCGGATCTTGTACCCTGCCAGCCACACAAATCCTCTTCGTTTAGAAAAACTTAAAGACATGATCGAAATAAGGGAAATCCGACCACAACAAAAGTGATTAAAAGATCAAGAAATCATTAAAATGCTTCAAGAAAGAGAATCCTAAGTCCCAACAACAAGGTGTTGTCAAAGTCACCAACGTAAAGATGAAACAACGGGTCTACTTTAAAGAGAAGAAAAGAGCAGAATGTATCCCTACTCAAACTGTTCAAAGCAATACCATCTGAATCCGATAATACAAATGCAAGCAACAATAGCAATCTCGGATTCACGATCGATACTTTTACCTGTTGACAAGGGAGTTCAGTGAATGCTCGATAGCACCAGATTGCAAGTTCTTAAAACGGTGCAGCTGTGCTATCGTGAGGCTACTGGATGTACAGCCGCCAAATATCGCCGATGCCGACATTGAGGAAGACATTGGCACCGCCTTCATATTTGCGGTCCCAGAGGCAGCATGGCCAGTCTGGCCTTCCACAGGCTTTCTTGAACGATGGCGGCCCCTATTTATGTGCCTTTCACAATAGTTTTGATCGGGAACAGCATCCCGGGAGCACCGCCATTTCTTTTCATCGTTTCGACGACACCTACCCGGCTCAGGGTCAGTGCTGACCGAGTACCCCAGATGGAAAGAGCCCCATCGCACTACATATAATAAAGACAAGCACACAAAAAGGATAAAAGGGATTCAACATCAAACCTACTGTTGCTTTTTTAGCTAAGATTACTTTTGAAATAAAAAGATGAACAGAAAACTTTGAGATCACTGCAAAATCAAAAATTCCGTCACAAACAGCAAATTAAGGATACGGAACTTACGTGAATTGGGGGGCAAAGATGCAGCAGATGAGCTGGTGAAGCCATAAGGATAAAGGGATTTCTTGAGAGGGATGATCAAATTGGAAGGCACTGCCACATTACAAGTGATGTATTTGTAGATCAATGCCTGGTGTTGTAACTCGGTCAACTGAGTTGGAGTTAATGGCCCTCTGAAACCATTAAAACCCTCATGCATGCTTCCACAACCAGAACCAGAACCACAATATTGGACCATAAACCTTAAAAGACAAAAAAGAAAAGCAAGTAAAAAGACCCTTTTAAGCACAAACCCCAAAACCCAATCTTGTAAAAACCAGAAACCAAACCAAACATCCGAAAGAACCAATCTTTTTTGTTACCTGCTTGGGGTGTATGTTCATAATAAGACAAGCCACTGTTTTGTGTACCCATCTCCAAAAAGTCACCATCTCTGTTGATGGAAGGAGGTTCAGATTTGAGTGAAGATAAGCTCAACATATGCTCTTGGTGGCCTCCAGAATTAGATCTCAATGGCATTGTCTTGGGAGTCAACAAGTCATCACTTCTTTGAAACTTCGAACATTTCCAGTGTTCTTCAGCTGAATCAGAACATCTTTCCTGCTTGGGAAACCCAGATCCAAGAAGCTTAGGCTGAGCTTGAGATGGAGCTCCATTTGCGGGACCCGTTATACCATCCGGACCCGCAAACCCGAAATCCATTTTTGGAGAAGGAACCAATCAAAACAGCCTCTAAAAAGCATGAGTTGAAGGCTTGGAGGAGTGTTTGAAAACGAAAAAAGAGAGGTGATCATTAAAAGGTGATCTTCAAGTATGTGCTTTTTTTCACTGTTTATTGAGGAAGTTTGAAAAATAAAAAAGTTGTGAAACTGAGGGAAGGGACAGAAGACAGAGACTAAAGTTCCAACAACCAACACAGTGTAACCGCATCTCGCCATCCCCTTGCAAGTACTTAGTTCATCTCCTGCCCTCATTTTTACTCTACAACATTTTTATTTGTATTATAAAGATGAAAAATATATATTTTTAATAAATATCAAGATAAAAATTATAGATAACAAAATATTATAAAAAAATCAAAAATTATAATAAATATATTTTACAGTGGTGTATTTCTCAAAAAAAATTACCGGTAATCGGTATATTTATCGATATAACATCGATCAGATTATATTTCTCGATCTAATATTCGTAGCAGTAAAACGCGCCCCCTGAACCGCGTTATATGTTGATTTGGCGTCACGTGGGGTATAGCGCGCCCCCTGCACAACGCTATACGCTGACATGGATTACACGTGTGTATAGCGCGCCCCCTTATCCGCGTTATACGGTACGCTATACGCCATGTAGGGGTATAGCGCGGATCAGGGACCGCGCTATACGCCACGTAGGGGTGAATTATATTTAACGCGGTCTCTGGTCCACTCTATATCTTTTATCTGAATAATTACATATAGCGCGGTGCAGGTACCGCGCCTTATATGATTATAAATACACTTCTCCTCCGGTTAAATTTCTCACATCTCCTCGCATATCTCCTCTCAACTTATAAATTAATACAACAATTCCGTCAACGAGTAATAATTCTGGCAATCTTCTCATATTTGATTAAAAAATTCGTGCGATTTTTCGTTATAAGGTAATTTTGTTATAATTTTTTAATTATACTTATTGTTTATTATTATTATTTGAAAAAATACTATACTAATTATTTTCAATTAATTTTTATGTTTGTAAAATTGAAAAGCGGAAGCATACGTCGAAATTGTTTTGCGGTGCAGGTAATAATATAAAATTATATTATTTAAATTATTTATGTTGATGTGTAAAAAAATTATTGTGTTATATTTTTGTTCATATATAATTTATTTAATCAGGTTTGTTTCAGTTTTTTTTTTGCATATATAATATTGCCGCACTTTTAAACTCAAAAAATGGTGCGACTTTTAGCTATTGTTTATTATGATGGTGAAATTCGAGAAGATGAAACCGACGTTGTTTTCATATTAAATGAGCGTGTTAAAATATTATTCAAGAGAAACATAACTCTTGAGGAGCTGATAACGAAGATTTCGAAGAAGATTCATGTTGGAAGTAGTTGAAGAATGTCGCCGTTGCAGTACAGATTTCCAACATCATTGTTGCCATTAACTCATACAGCGTTCGAACTTTCGAACAATGATGATATTCAAATGATGGTTGAAGGTCAAAGTAATTATTCAGACGTCGCTATTGAGATGTATGCACATTTTGTTTAAGTGCGTATTGTTCGGGGTCAATCATTAAGCTCTCACTATGGGCTGGCTGAACAAGTTGACAGCCCGACTACAGTAATGTGTAATGATTTTAATGCCATAATGGGGAGACATTCATCCGTAACTCCTTACGATATGTACTGAGGTAGGTCCACGAACAATCCGTATGACAACACCGCGTCCAGTTCAAGGGGAAGACATTCATCTGCAAATTTCTTTGACCTTAATATGAAGATGTTACCGTTTCAGCAAAGTGTCGAGATATATGATTTTTATCCAAGCGAAGTAGACTACCTTCCATTATATATCTGCAAAAGAATTATATTAGTAAAATATTAAATAAAGTAAAATACTTAAATAAATTAAATACATAATATTAAAAATATTATAAAATATACCTTAAACAGAGAGAATATTTGAGAGAAATCGAGAGAATTTGAGAGAATTTAGTGTGATGAAAGTGATTGAGGATGTGGGTATTTATAGGGAGGATTGAGGTGTGAACGGGTGGGTAATTAAGGGTATAGCGTGCCCCCTGTACCGCGCTATACTCCACGTGTCAGATAACCAGGTATAGCGCAACCCCTGATCTGTGCTATACTCCTACGTGGCGTATAGCACGGATCAGGGGCCGCGTTATATACACGTGTAACCCATGTCAGCGTGTAGCGCGGGGCAGGGGGCGCGCTATACCCCACGTGGCGCCAAATCAACATATAGTGCGGGGCAAGGAGCGCGCTTTACTGCTACGGATGTTAGATCGAGAAATATAATCTAATCGGTGTTAAATCAATAAATATACCGATCACCAGTGATTTTTCGAGAAAAATACCAAATACAGTAGCACGACATATGTAGCGTGAATTGCATGTCTACTCCAAAGTGGAGATGATAAGTGGCGCAGCATTGGAATATCCAAAGTGGAGATTGAACTCCACTCTAGCGCAGGAGTTGCTCTTAGCACACATTTATTTTTAGTTAATTGTTTTCTTCAATGAAAGTTAAAATTATGAAATTCTCCTTGTACTTGAGGAGGAATACTATTTTACTTCTGTAATTTTATATCGTTTGTATAAGAATTAGGGAGTAAAACTCGACTTAACTCGCTTTTTTTTTTTTACTTTTGAGTTATTCGAGTTATTTGAATAACCTCAAATTATTGATTCAGATTTTAAGTTTGATTTGAGTTGAAATTTATAGATTTCGAGTTACTCGAAAATCAAAAATCGAAAATTTGATTAAGTATTTTGATAATTTTACAATTTAATATATTATTTCATTATTCTTTCATTTTAAGTTCATTTTTATCAAATTTGAACCGTTTGTTCCTAAATCATCATAGAAAATGTATTTACCTCCTCTTTTTGATAACAAGTTTTTTTTCCAATTTTTCTCTCAACTTTTCGTAATTTTTTATTATTCAATTCATCATTTATTCTAAGTTCGTTTTTTTATAAAAATTTGAACCACATGTTTATATACCACTATATACCTATGTAATTTCAATTCTTATTTTTTACCAAAAATGTATACTTTTTTTATTTAATTTCTTAACTTTGTATTTTATTCAATTTGGTCTTTTAACTGCAATTGTTTACAAATTCTTTCTTCTCATAAATTCTTTCTCTCTTTTATATTATCTTCAATATTTTACCCTCAAAATATTTTCTAATATTATGAATATATTTTTTAATTTTAGATTGTATTTGATATATTAAATAATATTATAATGTGAAAAGAATATATATATATAATCTTATATGAAATATATCGATTTCAGTCAGTTTTACAAGTCGGGTTAACTTTTTACATCCCTATTCAGATGTCCTAACCAAGATGAGTTGTGATAAACCCTTATATAAATTTATAATTTCTTCAATATTATAAATTAACAATTCTATAAAATTAGAAATATAACTATGAGAACTTCTTTACGCGTAATTGGTTACAAATGTATTGCATCATCTTCAGTTTAATCCTTAATAAGGTTTTCAATAACACTAACTCTCTAATACCTGTGGTATGTATTATATTTACTTTGTCATATTATACATGAATAACATTCAATTAGTTAATACAATATATATATATATATATATATATATATGTGTGTGTGTGTTTTATTCATTAAGGACAATGTATATTCAATTTACGTTGTCCCAATATTATTAATTTATAAAAGTTTTACCATATTGGAACATTTCAATAAATTTGATATAATGAATTATTAACATATATTAATTGCATCACTATAAAAAGTAAAGAAACAACTCATTTCATTATTACAGATTCGCAATAACTATATCACGTTTATTGTACGTTGAGGGTGCAATATTTATACATGTACAACTTACTTATAGTTTAGGTTAATCTGTCGACTCATGGAGAGCCTACGAATTCTTAGATATGCCATCGCTCAACTTTCATTTCTTCTTCTTCTTAGCCTCTATTTTACAGAAGGAAGACTAAAGGACCTGGAATTCAGAAGGAAGGTAAATATAATCGTGTTTAAAATATTATATAAATTTCGATACGTTAATAATTCAATATTTAATTTGTTAAGATATTCAGATATTTATATAAACTTGGTGTTATGTTACAGACTAAATATGGGGACGAGTATGACTGTGTGGGGCACTACGAGCAACCGGCTCTTCGTCATAGTTTGCTAAAAAATCACAAGATTCAGGTTAATTTTATTAAGAAATTCCATAATTTCTAAGTCTTTAATCTGAGGGGAAAAAACTTGTATTTATGTAGCTTTCAATTGTTTGTACATTGACAGATGAGCCCAAGTTTTGATCCACAACGGGACTATACCAATCCTACTGGAAATGGAACACCGGACAACTCTATAGATGTTGTCTTAATGGATCCTTGTCCTTATGGAACAGTCCCCATTCGGAGAAGAAGCACGGCGGAGTTGTTGAGAGCGAAAGCTTTGTTCCGACGACAGTTTCCGAGCTTACACAAAACAGCCGATAATTTCTCACCTGGATTCGCAGTAAGCCAAACAAACTAATTAGTTCACATTTTTCTTGGAACCCAAGGTTCATAGAATCATCCTTGAGACATATGTATGACCTTAGTTTGCAGGAATCGTGACCAGAGATAATCACGCAACGGTTTATTACGGTGCCGGAGGAATGGTAAGCATAAATAACCCGGCTGTTACCAGTTAAGCGCATCTGTAATATCACTCGAAGGCGGCCCTCCCGATCAGTTCAGCGTTATAAGGGTCGGATGGATGGTAAGGATTCTTCGTAACCAGGGGATGTCTGCCCTCGCCTGTCTCACTCTGTCCATCCCTGTTGGCAACGTTAATTCTTTCGAGATTAATAAACCGTGTCTTTCTTGGAATTCCAGGTTAATGTTGATCTTTACAAGGACAATACTACTCGATTGTACACACTTTGGGGCGTATGCATTTCTCTTCTTAATCATTCGTCTTTGACTTGTGATTTATATTCGATCTTTCCGTTGCGTTTA